CTGATGCGTGTTTGCAGCTGGTCACACATCCTTCAGAGTGGGGGTCCCCACTGGGGTGTCTGGCCAGTCAGGGTGAGGGACTGAGGGCCTTTTTCAGGCTGGCCGGCGACTAAAGCTCCCAGCCTCTCCTTTCTTTCTTTCTTTTTTTTTTATTCTAGGATTTATTTACCTTTGATAGCTGTCACTGGAGCTGAGAGCCGGCTCCAGCTCTGATGGCTGAATGCAGCTCTGAGGCCGAAGCTGGCTGAAAGAAGGTCTCTGGAGCTTGTTTAGCTTCTATAATTGCAACATAGTTGCTTAGAGTGAAGCTCAGAGGCGGGCAGCGGCAGGCCGGGAACGTTGGCTTCCTCCATCACTGGAGCAAGCAAGGCTCCTTCCTGTTTGCTTCAGCTGTGTGGCTACTGGCCGCCATCTTGGTTGGCAGTTAATTTGCATATTCTGCTGATTAGCTAATGGGAAGGGTGTCGGGGTTATGATCAATTTGCATGTTTCTCTTTTATTAAATAGGATGGTTGCTAATATACATGTTAGGGCAGGGTACTCATTTCAATGCCCTCTGCTCTTTGGAAAGAAATGACATTCACTGATTCTCATGTCTTTGATGATTTTGATGTGATTTCTGCATAACACACCTGTCCTTTTACTTTTCAGAAAGAGATTGTAGCTGTAAGTTCCCTCCATAGCTTCACCCGCTTCTTAATTCTGCAATTACTTCTGTTAAACTTAAAAATACAGGGGATTTGCCTGGCCAGAGAGGCTCTCATCATTGATGTTTCTAACTCTCCCTCTCCCTTCCTCTCTGAAATCAATAAATATACACTTTAATACGTGTTTTTCTCTCACTTTAATCTGCTACATCTATTATATTTTCATTTTCCCATTGCAGTCCAGTCTACATATCTTAGTTTTTACTTCATAGTATAGCTACACTTAACACCAATGCTTGAAGTCAAAAGCTATGAGACACATATAAAAATGTAAGTTTCCCTAAGAGACCAACCAAATACTATTCGGAGAATTTTGTTAGATTAGTAAGGAATAGAGGAACTTCTGGTGGTAGCTTTCAAGCAGTGGGCATATATCCCTTGACAAATTGTAATTCCCTACTCTCATCATCTCCATGAAAGTAAACGGTGCTGTTAAAACATTGCCGGGGCCGGGGCCTCTGTCCAAAAGAGTGACAGCTGAGACTGTACAAAGTGTGAGGCCACATTGTCCCTACTGTGAGAAGCCATCATTAACATTTGGGATAAGAATAATAATCCCCCATGGGCACTCCCTGTTGTGAATCCATAGAAACATCCATTTTGCACATGGATTGATGAATTGGGCCAAAGGTGTTTTCTATGTAACCGGTCTCAGTACTTTTCATCATTCCAGCCAATGACTTATTGTGAGAGGTCATCCCTAATGAATGCAGAGACCAAAGTGTTGGTAAATTACCCTCCAATACCCATAGCCAGTGGGCTCGACTCCTGGTCAAGGGCACATATCTTGGTGGCAGTTTCCATCCCGGGCCCTGGTCAGAGCTTGTGCGAGAGGCACCCAGTCCATGTGTCTCTCACATTAATGTCTCTCTCTCTCTGTGTCCCTCTGTCTTTCTCACTTCCCCTTCTCCCTCCCTTGCACTCTTTCTCTAAAGTTCAATGGAAAAATATCCTCAGGTGAGGATTTTTTAAAAAAGTGAAAACAAATGAAAATGCGCAAAGTCCTACTTAAGAAGGAGCTAAAGAGTCCCGTCAGTTTCCACTCACCTTGTCCACGAGCCCAGGAGACCCACAAGGTGAGGATGACCGTGACTAGTAACTGCATGGCGGGCTCCTCGGGGGTGTTAGCACAGAGTCCAGCGCTGCTGTTTGGGGCTTCAAACCTGCTTCATGAGCCGTTACCAAGTGTGGCTCTGAATTCAAGTGACAGTACCGGGAAGCTGGTTGACTGGGGTCACTCGGTAGATATCAAAGTTCAAAGACTTTTGCAATTCTGAAAATTTGCATGAAGGATTTCACAATCATTTCTTGAGTTACTTCCATGATATATATTTGTGCCACTTTCCTTACATAAGATGAAAACTGGATCCAAGAGTGATATGGAACTCT